TTGTAGAAGAACCAGTAGAAATCATGGACCGAGAGGTCAAGCAAACAAAACAAAGTCGCATACCCATCGTGAAGGTTCGCTGGAACGCTAAGCGGGGACCTGAATTCACATGGGAACGCGAAGATCAGATGCAACACAAGTACCCACATCTATTTCCCTAATCCACGAGTGTTCTCTTACTTTGAATTTCGGGACGAAATTCCCTCTAACGGGGGGATGATGTGACAACCCGATATTTCAACTCTTTGTAATGGCCTAATAGGTCAAGTATTGTAAACATTTTTGAGTTAATAAAATTAACTTTGATAATAAAATGTCCAAAAAGTTTCTATTTAAATTCTTCTATGTTTAAATCTCATTAAACCATGATCGTACGTAAAAAGAACGCCCAAATCCGACTTCGTATATTGAAGTTATGATTTTTCCAAGTTCAGCTTAGCAACAGACAGCTAAAAACTCGAAACGGAGATCGAGCGACATTTGGCCGGAATGACCTAAACGAGAATCGAAGGTCTCGACAATGGTATTTCAACGGTAAAAAGTCTGGCAAAAACCGACGTCAGATAAAGAAGTTATGAATTTTTAAAGAAATTCCTTAATCACGTCATTTTAATAAATAAATAATAAAAATAATTTCGGAATTTGCCAACGGAATCTAAACGAAAGTTGTAGATCGTAGTCTCACCTTCGCGGGGATATAAAGAACGTCGAAAACGGAGTTCGTATGAAGGAGATATGAATTTTTGAAGTTTGATAAATAATTTATATATAATTTTTATTAAAAATTCGGTATTATCCGAAGAGGAGTCAGCCTAGGGCCGAGGTACGCGCCGCGTACCCTCGTACGCCCCGCGTACTCGAGGGCACGCCTCGGATCGTCCACGTCGCCCTATGCGAAGCTACCCGACCCGCCGTCCCATCCGACCCGCTCCATCCGAAATACGTAAGTGATGACGTACGGGTACGCGCTGCGTACGCCCCGCGTTCGGAGGCGGTTCAGCACCCCTATAAAAGGGATGCGAGCCTTTCCGAAAAAGTTGTTCATTTTCTCTCTTTCTCTCACGATCTTGCCTCGATTTCCGTGCCCGTTCAAACCCGAAGCTCTGGTCTTTTTGCTCAAGTCCCGAGAGTCGATTTTACTCCCGAGATTCCCGAGAATCCCGAGAAAAATCCGTTTCCCGAGACGAAACTCTGCCCGGTTTTCGATCTCGCTATCTTCAAACTTCCAAGTGAGTTCATACCCCTTTATTCAACCTTTGAAATGCTTTTAAATGTTTTAAATACTTTATGGGGGGGAATACAACGTTAAACACTTATAGTTATTGCTTCGATCACATGTGATTGCATTAATCACATGTGATTAATAACTAGGAAACCAATGATTTATCACTGTTCAAACTGTTTTACTTCAAAATGTTTTACAAACTCTTTTACTTATCAAATGCTTTATTGTAAACTTTGTTTTACTACCTATAAATTTGCATGCCCATATATGTATAGCTGTATAAATAATGTTTAAAGGGCTTAGGAAAGCCACCTGTCCTATTTCCTTTTCCTCGATTTGGATGTGGTCTGGTGGAATTTCGGGTGACCATCCGAGGGTCGTTTCAATATTAGTTATATATCATATATACATGTATTGACATAAAAGTACTTCCATATTCATACTTATCACACCTCGTTAGTAAGTTACCATCGGGGTAACACGGGATCATACTACTACAATTTCTAGATCAACGAGTCAGTTCATTCAGGAGTCAATACTTATTACTAAGAGAACATATACAACGATACTAGAACAAGTAACATTATATTGCATATACACGAATACGTTAACAATTGTGATCCACTGTATGGGAGCATGTCTTAATTGACATGACCCGAGTTGTAGCCAGAGTCTCTTGGAGGGAGAGCGTGAGTTTGCGTATAGATCTATACTGGATTGACTATCCTACACCTCGCTGCTAGCTACAGTGGGACAGGTCTGCGGGTGCCAATCATCATACCTTATTTTTCGACTATACGTTGTTGATGTTACCAGTCGATAGTATGGTGCAATTTATCACACTATACCTTAATATAAACCCGGTTTAAGGTAGTTAGTACAGCAGTAGTTCATATAAAACAAAACTACCGTACTACAATAATTTACCCATTACATTTTGGTGATAACCTCACTTAAACTTTAATGTACAAACTATATTTTGTTAAATGATAGTTACACTTGGGAAATTACACACTTTTACATCAAACGAGCATACAAAACAGTTAAGCCTTGGTAGAGGGCTACTTTAACAAAAAATATAGGTTTTTCTGAGAGATTTAAACTTTTACAAACACTTACATGCATTTACAACTCATACTTGCGACAGGTTCAAACGTTTTGATAACGAACCTCAACACTAAAATACTTATGAATTCACCAGCTTAATGTTGATAAACTCTTTCAAAATAACTTTTATTCTCAGGTCATCAGTAGTCAGGTACCGATGCTAGCTTTTGAGAAGATGGAGCGCATTCAAGACTCATCATATTATTTTGATTTAAATTATATCTTTGGTGTCTAAAACTGTACAGAACACGCTTGTATTAAAATTTTATATTTAATGCAATGGATGATGTTGTTTGCTTATTTACATTTACTGTGTTGTGATACTTTACATGACGTCCTCCGCCCTAGAACGTTTCCGCCATTCTTGGTTTTGGGGTGTGACAATTACCCTGCTTGAGGGTTAAGAACTCCTGAACCAACCGTTCCCTCTCCATCGGGGGAACATACTCGTCTCTAAACATAGAAGTAAATCTCTCCCAATTCATGGCTGAAATCTCTGCAAGAGTAAAGTTTGTCGTCACGAACTTCCACCAATCCTTTGCTCCCAGGTGGAGCTGGTTCAAAGCGAACAGTACCCTCAGATGCTCCGGACATGAACAAGTGTAGAAGCATCCCTCAATATCAGCAATCCATCTCATCGTAGCGATCGGGTCCTGCGTCCCGTCAAACTCGGGTGGCTTCGTGTTGCTGAACTCCCGGAATAGCAATGAGTCACCTCCCTGTGGTCTGGCAGCGGCCACAGCTGCTGTAGCTACAGCGGCTGCGGCCTGAGTCACCGCGGTGTATCGCTCATCAAAAGTCTCCATCAGTGTGGTCTTGATAGACCCAAACATCTCCGGAATCTCAGCCCGGATCACCGCAGCCACCTCCTCGTGAATCATCTGACGAAGCTCCTCATCACTCACACTGCTCTTACCAGGTCTGTGGCGTGGTCCAACCATAATGCCTCTGAAATACAACATAAAAATATCAGAGACTCCATCGAGCATAATCGCACTCGATAACGCAACCCTGCTCGGCCTCCGATACCCAGGGATTCTTACTTGGGTTGCCCACTGACCCGGTGTCTTCAGTAGTACGGACCCAATACTACCGACTTCACCCCAAGTCCTCCTCCCCGGACCCTGGATCATGAGTACTCTATTCTCGCTATGCACTGGCTCCCTACTCGCTCTCAAAGCATCTCGTAGCAGCAGGTTCCCATAGACTAAGGCATCACAAATCAGGCCACTCTAGTCCTAATATGAATACCTAGTCTACTAGCATGCGTAGCATATCATAACATAATTCATAACACATATTGTAAGGGTATTTTGGGGATTTTACCGTTCAGACACTGGCTGACCGTACACACTGATTCTCCTTTGGTTATTACGAAATCTCTTATAAAATTTTCATGCTTTTATTAATTGAAAATTTCCTCAAATCCCCGGTTTGAGTTCAGTTACGCCCGAAGGTGCATCTAAATCCCTCAAACCAAGGCTCTGATACCAACTTGTAACAACGTAAATTTTCAACACAAAATTTTCATTTTTGCAAACATCAAAACCATCGTTTAATATTATGAATTCAAATGTGTAACATTGTCATCATAACAAAATACATCCTATGATAATAAAAATAGTTCTTTCGTTAGTGTGTACAATCACGCCGGCACCTTCCCACGGTCCTCGCTAGTACCTGAAACACATAACACAACAACTGTAAGCATAAATGCTTAGTGAGTTCCCCAAAATACTATTTACGCACATACGCCTTTCCAGGCCATGACCTTCCGGTCCATGTGTCTCAGGGGACTTCCGTCCCGATTCGGTAAACCTTCCGGTCCTACCTGCGTCAACCTTACGGTCCACATCACAACGCCTTCCGGCCCATAACATATACGCCTTCCAGCCCATAACATAATGCCTTCCGGCCCATATCAAGCTTATCATACATAGCACATATAAACGATTAACTTATCATATACAATACATATAACTCATAACATATCCGACCTTCCGGTCACACAATAAAACCCTTCAGGGTACACTATAGTGAGAAAACTCACCTCGTGGAAAGTCTAGAATCTCGCGTACTCGCTATCTCCAAATCCCAACGACGACTCTACCTCGCCTAATCATAATAAATATCATTTTAATTATTATAGACTTCCATAACTAGACTTACCCCTTATCGTCATTCCTCCAAGGGTAAAAGAGCATTTTACCCTTCCTTGACTTAAAGTCTACATGTTGACCAAAACCCTAAAAGTCAACAAAAGTCAACCTTTTGAGTACGCAGGGCGTACAGCTTGATGTACAAGGGGCGTACATCGCCAACCCAAGGATCGGGGTTTCTTTCCGAGGGATGGTGGCTGGGGAATCAAGCCATCACATTCCTTTTATAGCCAGCCATCACAATTAGGATTTTTGTGTCTGGACCGGTTACGCCCAGCATACCCGAGGGTGAACGCGTCTAAATGAACTGCGCGAGTACGCGCAGCGTACTCTTTGTACGCCCAACGTACTTGCCTAACATGCAAAAACCTAAATGGAAACAAATCAAAGATGAAGGGATAAATAGAAGGGTACCTGGATTTTGGGCTGTTACAACATCAAACCAGTTGGGTCCAGAGGTTGGACCCAAAATCTAAGTGAATTCTAGAGTATAGCCCATAGAGAATAGCTCAGAAAATATTACTTGCACTTTCTGAGCTGGTAACTAACTTTGAGAAGCTTTTAAACAGAAGAGTAAACAGACCATTCCACATCAGAAGAAGGTTGGGCTTCTTGAACTTGGAAAGAATGGTTAGGTTGTCCAGGCATCCCATCTGGAAGAACATCTCTAGAAGATCAGAAGAATAGATTGACTCAATATCAACCAAATCCCTTAATTGAGAAAATACTAGAAGGAAGCTAAATCGTGCTTTGGAAATTGTGGTTTTGATGGAGTCCACCTCAAAGGAAATTAGAGCTTCACTTTGTTGATGTCGTGCGGTCGAAAACCCTTCCGACAAAAGAACCAAGGGATCATGTTGTGCCATTGTTAGTGTAGGAGCCATCGGAGAATAAAGAAGAAACTCGATCATAGTTTGGATAGCTTCATAATACTTGGATGAATTGAGGTCAATAATGAAGTTTTGTTTAGGCTTAATGCTCAGCAGCGCCATGAGGCAGTTTAATCAGCAGCGGATGGGGTGTCTAAAGAAGCAGCCATGGATGCAATTGAGAAGAAAATGAATAGTGCAAAATTTTGCTTTAGAGATTTTAAGAATGATGACTGAAAGCAATTGTCATTTTTTTCTTTATATATGGTATGGCTGGTGAGAGAAAGCCAGTTGTAAGACCGTTTAGTTCCCTGAAAAAGCGCCTGAAGAAGCATGAGTGATAGGCGTGATGTTTGGTGGCATAACTAACAAAGCGTGATGTCAGGAAAATTTGAAAGGCATGCGCCCAAATTTTGAAATCTTGTCCCGTAGATGTCGACGTTTCAATTTTGCACATTCAGAATACATCATCATTCGGAATTTAGCATCAATCACGATAACCTGTTCTCAGTATTGAAAGTAATCATACAGAGTTACGAGCCAGACTTTCGAAAATCACAAGGATTTTTGTGCAAGAGTGTGCCAAAGATAAAGAATTAAAACTAAAATATCTGGTATTCTAATGATGTCAATTATAAATTAACAAGAAACAGTTGGATCCCGGGCAATGATCTCTTCCTTCGGAGTAAAGAGAGAATCAGAAGTGTCTATGTGGTATCTTATTGAATTACGATCATCTGTTTGTTGAGAAACAGTGAAAGGCTTCTTTTCATTAGGCTCGTAGGGTGGCTTTATCTTCAACCAAACTCCAAAACCCAACATAAGTTCGAACATTCGAAAGAAGTACTTGTCTGACTAGTGTACTCATAATAACAAGTATGCTTGGTATATATTTAAATGGCTAGACAAAATCGAATTCTCAAGAAAAATAAAAATTGGATCTATTAGTAAGAAATGTCTTAGATCGAGAAGATTCCATTAAGATCCTGCAAAAAAAAAAAAAAGAGATTTTAAGGTATGAACCATGAGGGTTAAAATTTACCAATTCCATAGTGAAGAATCTATAACATAGTAATTATTTATCGTCAATTCAGAAACTGGTTTCGTATTTTGGGTTTCAATCAATTCGTGATAACAATGAATTTAAGATCATAAACACAGAAGTTGTGTAACTATAAACTTTAGTGGTAATTGTTGAGAGTCTCAAGGGTTATGAATGTGAAAGTGAAGGTAATGGAGAATATATAAGATGGTTCCGAAGAGAGAATGTACCTCTGCTTTATTGCAAATGACTAATCAGTCAACTCTTAACTCAATATGAGAAGAGAAAGGTAGCTCAACAACTTATGTGAATATTTAGCCTAATTGGGAAGAAATATTTGGTGTGAAAGTTTCATTAAGGCTTCAACATAGAGTTTTAGAGGCTTTGGTCAATGGGCAACAACATGCTTCTAGGCACACTTAGCTAGTACATAGAATCAGAGTAATATACCTGCCCATCATTCCAAATTGAGATAAACAAATTGCACCTAAAATAAAAAGAATTTAAAAAAATGACACATACAAAAAAATATTTTTAGAGTTTATGAAATTTTTTGGATAAAGAAATAAAAATAGAAAATAAAATAACGAAGATACATAATATACAAAGGATACATGATGTTCTGAATCACCGAGTGAACAGTGAACTCCGAGGTGCTTCAAGGGCTCGGACCCATTTATAGTGTGAACAGTAGACTCCGAGTGACTCTGAGAGTTCAAACCCATTCACAGGTTAACCAATGCATTCCGAATACGAAGATGGTTTCAGAACAGAGTGTGCTTCAATAATACCTAAGCCTTAAAGAATTCGATTAAAAGTTTGTTGAACTAAGAATTTCATAAAGATATCAGCCAGTTGATCAGGAGATCTTACAAAGTGGATTTTAACATTGCCATCCTCCATATGATCTGTTACACCCGAAAACCGAGAACGGCGAAAACATTCTGGGGTGGATGACGTCATGTACAGTATCACAACAATGAATAGTAGTAAACAAGCAACAACATCATCCATTGCATTAATAATGTAATTTTAATACAAGTGTTCTGACATGTTTAATAGACATTAAAGTATGAATCAAAATAAAAGATTAGTCTTGAAGGATCTCCAACTTCTCTAAACCTTGCATTGGTACCTTTCTACTGTTGACCTGAGGATACAAGTTATTTTCAGAGAGAGTATCAGCTTTAAAGTTTGTGAGATGATAAGTATTTTAGTGTCTGTATTTGTAAGATTGTATTTGTAAGTATGAGTATGTAAAAGTTTTGAATAATCTTGAAAACCCTATGCTTCCTACTAAAAGTAGCCTTCTACCAAGGCATCTAGTATCTGACTATGTCTCTTGTAAGAGTGTGTATTTTCCCAAATCTAACTACATTAACCAAAAGTATAGTGTTTACATTACCGTGCATCGTGTGAATGTTCACGAAGTGAATGTAATGAGGAAATAATAAAGTACTGTAGTTTTATAATAAGTGACTACTGCTGTACTAACTACCTTAAACCAAACGAAATTTAAAGTAACATGTGATCGGCCTGTATCCTGCTACCAAATCAATAGTAAAACGATAATGTAAGACGTCGTAAGAAATGACTTTTGGCACCCGTAGACTTGCAAGTCCCACTGTAGCGAGCAACAAGGTGTAGGATAGTCAATCCAATATAGATCTATACGCAAACTCATATGCTCCCCAATTAAGGAGATTCTGGATATCAAAATGGTCATGGCAGGTAGCGCCATGACTCGTTTAATGGCTCACATAACTAAATGTAATGTATATGTAATGTATGCTAGCTGTATTGTATGTTCTCCCTCTGTCTAGCCTGTATGTTCTTTTTGTATAGTATTGTAATGTATTGTGTGTACTAGCTGTATTGTGTGTTCTCTCTATCTAGCAAGTATTGTAATGTTCTGTGTGTACTAGTTGTATTGTGTGTTCTCTCTATCTAGTAAGTGTTGTAATGTTCTGTGTGTACTAGCTGTATTGTGTGTTCTATCTATCTAGCAAGTATTGTAATGTTCTGTGTGTACTAGTTGTATTGTGTGTTCTCTCTATCTAGAAAGTATTGACTGATGGATGAAATGACTCTTTGTATGATTCCTTGTTCTAGTATTAGTATTAGTAAAACCCTAAACTACGCCTATTGTAGTTTACTAGTAATATAACTTGTACGTATGAACATGGAAGTATACCCTTGCTACCCAAGGGTATTGAATTGACTGGAAGAACCTTTATGATTATATATGTACACATGTTATATAACTAATAGTTAAACAACCTTCAGACGGATACCCGATATCCTACCAGACGACATCCCAACGGGGAAAAGGAAATAAGGCGGGTTAGCCTTCCTAAGTCCTTCAAACATTACTTATATAACTATACATATATAGGCATGCAATTAACAATATAAAAGTATAAAAGAAGTTTTGTAAAACCTTTGAAAAGTTTTATAACTAGGAAAAGATGACTTGATGTCAGTTTGTAAAACAGTTTGAAAACAGTTTATTTGATAAGAACAGTTTAAAGTATAATGAAACCTTTGTTTTGGAAACACAATCGTTATAGAGTTTTGAAGAGAAACATTCAGTATGTAAGACAGTTTGATAAAGAATTGTAATCTAGTAAAAATGTTTTGGAAAGCCATTTGAAGTAATCTTTTTGGTAAAACCGCTAAAAGTGTAGTAAATCTATTTGCATGCTATTTATCAATCACATGTGATTGATATAATAACTAACATGATTCAACTTGTATTCCCCCCCCCCATAAAATCATTTAAAAACATTTAAAAGATAGATTAAGGGGTATGAAGTCACCTGTAGCAAGTGGTTGGGATGAACAGACTGTATAAGATGCTAAGTGTCAGGTGAAGACTTGTACACACTCTATGATCCTATTTAACATATAATATCACATATATGTAACCAATTAGCCTTTAAACAACTAAATAACATGTTTAATACATCATAAGACATGTTAAACACTTTATATAAGTGTTATAAGTGCTAAGGAGTGCATCTAAGTGTTGTAGGACAAAGCTATTGAGCTTATGGTTCAAGGGAACCCCTAAAATGAGTTTACTCCCTAAAGACCATCACCCCTTAAGTTTACGGCCGTAAGCTCATAATATTTTGACCATTTGATGGCTTGAAGTCTAGGCCATTCCAAGCATTCCTACTTCATGTTTAAGCCTTAGGAAAAGTTTTGTGGCATCAATACACTCCTTGATGGAGTTTACGGCCCATGGACCATTTCTCCACGAGTTTGCTGCCGTAAACTCCTCTAGGCTAATGTATTTTGATGTTTTCAAGTCCGAAACACTTCATGGTATCAGTCTAGGCTTGATTCAAGGCATAAGGAAGGAACATGGGCTATTTTTACACACCTTTGGGGTGTGTACGGTTTTGGGAGATCCCCAAACCGTAAACACATATAAATGTGTCATTTTGGTGGTTTTTATGTGATAAACACATCAAGTAAGGGGTTTAAACCAGTTACCAAGGATTAGGATAAGCTAGGGCACACATTGGCACCCTAAATAGGGTTTACGGTCCAAGGTGTTCTTGGACCGTAAACACATTTGATCTTGGTGTTCTTGGATGATTTATTGAGGTATAGAAGTGTAACAAAGCTTTTAAGACTCTAGGATAGAAGCACTTACAAGTTAGAAGCTCAAAAAGGTCCAAAAGACCAAGAACACGAGTGTGTGTTCTTGGTGTAAATTGAAGATTGACCCTTTTGGAATGATTTCACGGTTAGAAGTGTGTTAAAACACTAGATTAAGCCATATAATAACTTAATAAGGCTAGAATCACTTACTAGATCGAAGATCTCAAAAAAATTTTGGATGATACTTGAGAGTGAAATGGGTTTGGATCTGGAGATTTGGAAAAAGTGTAAATAATGACTAATTCTCATATATATACTCCCAAATTTAGGGTTTTTGGCAGAAAATATTTTATTCTGGCAGTAAACCCTAATTTCTTAGAGTATTGGAATAACAATGCTGCACAATAACCCTAGGGCATCCTCTCTCCTTATATCACCCGAAGCGTAAATCCTAAAAATACTCAAACTT